TAAAAAGCCCCTTGAAAGATGTTCCTCCTGATGTCTTTCATTGGGTCTGGGGGCAAGCGTGAGAAAGCAGGGGGGCTGCAGGCAGTGCAATTGAAAAAGAGACCGTTGCACTTTTTCACGAAATGAAATCACCAAAAAGAATGGAGACACGATCTGGCCAGCAGAAGAGGTCTTTATTTTCAGAGTTATTTGGCAAAGGGGGCGTGGAAAAAGACGTGAGCGAGAACCTCAAAATCCACCCGGGACCTTTGCTGCAAACCTAGCGCCCGCAGGGTCAATGACTGCTGAACCCAAATTTATTTTGAACCTCAGAACAGGAGGGATCCAGTCTTTCCATGTGAAAATCATTACCCTTCTAGCTGCCAAGACTTATAATTTAGGGCAGGGAGAGAATAAGGTTGCTGCTGTTGTTACTGAATGCTTGTAAATCAGACTCTCTGTTTTTGCTGGATTACATTTCTGAACTGGGATCCCGGACTCTCATCCGCTCATCCCAGAGATTAGCTCCTGGGTAAGGTGAGAGGTGGGAGAGCGGTTCTTTCAGGATGAGTCTTCCAGGAAAAGCCTCCCCCCTTGCCACCGTCTGATCCTAGAGGTGTCTATTGTGCCAATTTCTATGGTGAGATCCTTACCTGGCCTGTCCAGTGTGTGCACACAATCGGCACAGCCCGTACCCAAATCCTTGCATCTTGTGAAAAGGAATCTGTCCTGTTCATTTTTTCCTTCATGGGAAAACTGGCTCAGAAAGATATGCCTGTTCTTGCTGGAGTAGGAAAAAAAGTTCTCTAATAAGGATCCTCAGATGCTGCTAAGAAACTCATGTGCTGGACCTGGCTTTTGGGCCTAGCATCTGATCTTCCCAGTACAATGCCTTTAAATACGGAGGCTCCATTGACTAGCAATTGTCTGTGAATTTGGCATCAGCGGCTATTACAAACTAGCAACAGGGAGCACTCAAGTACATTGGCAAGATTATTTTAGGAGCGATCTCTGGCCGAAGAACTGTCTTGTTAGCTGTAAGTCTTGCTGCGAGCAGAGACATTTACTACAATCCTTTTGTAGTTTAGTTAGCCGTATAAGCGCATCATGGAAAAACACCCTTCTAGGATGGGGCATGGTGGAGGAAGACCAGCTGAAACAAGTTTTGGGGATGGAAAAATAGCCATTTTCAGGCTGGAACGCTTTTTCTAACTTAAAAAGACACTACTGTATGCCCTGTGAAATAATACTGGGTATGTGGAAGGTTTAAAACCCATCTTTTGAGGCCAGAAGTCTAGCTGCGTGCTTTGGAGCAAGTGTCCAACGAGGTACTGTATGATCTGAAAGAGTCAAGATGGTGTATTGAGATGCACGTAAAAAAAAAACACAAATGCAGCTTTAATCACGCCGTTGCAGCCACCATCATGGCTTTTTGGACTGCAGACACCCCTATTTTGCAGCTCACCCCCTGCAGGCACCCCTATTTTGGAGTTTCTTTCTCGTCACGCTACAAGAAAAGAGGCAAGACAGGGCAAAAGAGACCGTTGGCCGGTCGTGAGGTTTCGTGCCCAGTTCCCGTCCTCGGATAACGTGCTGGGGAGCCTCCGGATACGCCCGTTGGGGTTCCCCAGACGCACGGCGCTGCAAGCTTGCCGTGGCATCGGAACAGCGAAGGAATACTGTATTTTTCAGTGCTCCGTTTCTGAAAATCTCGATTCTGTGAAAAGCCACTCTTTCCTTCCTGTACAGCAGGGTTCCTCAACCCCGGCAACTTTAAGATGGGTGGACTTCAACTCCCAGAATTCCCCAGCCAGCATGAGTTGAAGTCCATCCATCTTAAAGTTGCCGGGGTTGAGGAACCTTGCTGTTCGTGATATGCAGGTTCCATATCAGGGAGGAATCCCTTGGTGCCTTTTTCTTTGCCCCACAAAGGAGACACTCTTCCCCCCCCACACACACACCCACAGTGCCACCCTTCCAGAGGACCCTGACTTCTGGTTCCTGGACTCAAGACCCCCCCCCCCACACCCCCCCCCCGCTCCCCCCCCC